CCTTGTCAAGGGTGTTGCAAGTAGTTGTACTGCACATAGTGAGTAGGCTATTGCTGTATTTCAGGGAAGATCGGACGTAACCAAGGTATAGAGCTATTAGAGTTTGTTTGTCTGATCCCCATGAACTGCTTGCGAGTTTCTTTAAAAGTTGACTATGGTCATCAAGTTTGACTCCAAAGTAAGTTAGATGTTCTTCTTTGGGGGGACTTTCTTTTCCTATCTTTATTTTGAGATTTTCTTTGGCAGCTTTATGGCTCTTCGTAAAGATGGTGTATACTGTTTTCGTGCAGTTTATTTTAAGTTTCCATTTCTGACAGTAATTGTGGAGCCTCTTGAGGTCTTCATTTTATTTCCCTGCTCCTACCATCGTGCTGTGATGTGTCTGCCAGAGAGCAAGATCATCGGCATAAAGAGTCTTTTCTGATTTTAGCACGTTCGTTACATCATTAAAGAAGATCAGGAACAAAGTGCAACTCAGACAGGAACCTTGAGGTAGGCCTTCCTCGAGTACTTCTCTTGACGAGTGGGCATTGTTTACCTTCGTTTCAATGTTTCGATCCGACAGGAAGAAGTTGATCCATTTGTAAAGTTTGCCATGTATCCCATCAATTTCATTATTAGGCCTTTTCTCCACACTCTGTCGTACGCCTGTTGGAGATTTACAAAGATGGCGACAGTGTGTTTAGTCTTCTGAAATCCATCTTGATACATGCCCGTTTGATTGGGTTTTTTTTCTCCCAATACTGCAGATGTTATTTGTATGTCTCGTCTCACACAATCACTAACCCGTACAATGTTACGGCAATAGAAATAAGTCAGCCAACCCCCCCCCCTTCTTCCCCCCTTCGTTACATTAGTTCAAAGTTCAGTCTCAACTATCTGAATTTCATGTCAGCATTGGGTTTTTAATTCTCACCTTCGTTATCACTGAAAACTCCACTGGTGGCCGCGTTAACCTTGTCAAAAACCTCTATAACATAAAATTACAAATTTGACAAGACCCAGAAAAGGAAATCGGCATCATATTGGGGGGTGGTAAAGTTCCAAAGGTAAAAACGAAAGAGGCATCGAAGCAAGGGAAAAAATGCTCTGTACAATAGAACAAAGCTTTGTTTTGGCGTCGGGGGGG